TGATTATTTGAAGGTTTTATCAAGTAGTGATAATCAACCTTTATTTGTTTGATAAATTCTTAGCCTGAAGTGTTGATTTTATTAAAATTACCTTCTCGGTAAAAAGTGTAAAATGAAGGATGGTCTCAATACTGGTAATTGTCAATTGTCAAATTATTTGGTGTCAGGACTTTTTCTATTTAACCTCCTCATTAATGATCCAGAAGAAGAAACAAACAGCATGTAATGAGATTTGATACTTGGAAGGATTAACACTGGTGAGAACTGCAATTTAATGCAAAACAACAGACACCAGGATCAAGGGTAGAGAACAACAAAAGGCACAAAGCACATGGTGGAAATCAAAAGAGAAAAAAAAAAAGAAACCTGAAAAACTTGTAGCCAGGGGAAATATTTCTTCAGTAAGAGGAAATCTCAGTAACATGGGAAAAAATTTCAGCAGGTGAGCAGCCAAGTGGAATGAATGTCTTGAGCTGGTGTCAGTTCGCTGCGCTGGCTTACCAGAGGAAAAAATACAGCAGAGAGATGCTAAATACCAGCCTGAGGATTTACATCAGCCAGAATCAAGGATTAAAGAGTTCCCGTGAGGCATTCAGCCTGCTCACCTGCCTGTGGCACCTGCAGCATCAGTGTGGTGATGGAGGTGAACTCCCCCAGAAATGGCTGTGGATTACCAGCACCCACTGAGGTCGCAATGTTCGCTCAAATGGACCTGAACAAATCCCCTCCTGTTCACCAGACAGCGTAATGCACATCTTTCTCATTTTTCTGCCTACACTTGACAGCAGCATCTTGCATGCTCTGTCAGTCAGCAGCAGGACGTCAGGGTGAGGCGAGGCAGCACCCCTGTCCCCAGGCAAAAAAAGATCAGTCTCAGGATTTAAGAGTTAACATTTTATTGAACTTTAACTGATGGTCAACAGAGGGGCAACAATGGGTTCGATCACTAAATGGGGGTGTGTCAAATACAGGGGCTTAACAGATTTTGCATGGAGACAATGGAGGAAGTTATGAAATACTCTCCAAGTAAGAAGGGGGATTCACGGCCCTGTTTTATTGTTCCCAAGTGTCCTCCCTCAGTCAATTTCATACCCTTACCCAAAAGAAGCTGGTCACACCTCTCGCTCATCAGGTAAAGAAATAAATGGTAGCAAACTCAGGGAAAGAACTAGACTTCAACTTACCATAAGTCTATGCAGGAATCAACATTTGTGTCTCTAGAAAGACTAGTTATGACATTATTATTTTAAAACAAACTAACAAAGGGGGAAAGTTTCCACTGTGACACTTTAACCCAATTTCTGTTTAAAACCTGTTGAAACACCATGTCTCAATACTTGTCTATGTGTTTTACACTGTGCCTCCAACACCTGTCTATGTGTTTTATAAAACATTTTCCAGAGTTCTGAGTACTACTTGGGCCACTGAGAATGTGAACCTAAGACTTCAAAGCAGTCCAGTGAGCTACTTCAACTGACAGCTTAGAGCATACCTATGAATAAAAAAAAGCAAATATTTGGACACAGCTTTTCTCTGTCAAACCCCAGAAAGACTGGAAACCTGTCCTCCTAACCTATGTTTTCTTTCAGACAGCTGGAAAGGGCTATTGTCTCCGTTTCATCCATGTTTGTTTGTCTGAGCTTTTTTGTATAGCTTGTAGTGAGATTCATGTTTTCATTTGCGTTCAGGACCCAGGCCAGGCTGACACAGGGGGATACAAAAGGCTTCTCTTCCTTTTGCTGTTGAAAATTGAAATTGAAAACCACTGCACTAACCCCGGGGACCCAAGGGCAACCTGGTTTCAAGGAGGTAACACCAATGTCCCTGTCATGCAACAAGAAGGCATGCACCTTGCCTGCCCTTCCATTTTCAGGAATGCAATGCCTTTGAGCCCACAAATTTAAGGTAAAACTCCCATTAATCCCTGTTACCCGAATGCATGTTTTCCTGCAAGTAAACATTTTCTGGTTTACACAACAGGTTGTTTTCATGCCGGAAAGTACTAAGAATATCACCAAAATTTTGGAAAAAACCTCCAAAATCAGATTTGTAAACATAATCCTTCCCTTTTCAATTGGCAGCACTTTGAAAAGCCAGACACAGTGAGACACACAGAGGTGGCTCAGTCTTGACCAAATAACGTGTGTTTTTAGAGAATAAAGTAAAAAATGCTTTACATTAAAATAAACCAAAAAACTGCATGAAATGAAAATTTATGCTATTTAGTAATCACAGTAGTTTATAGTTAAATAGAACTGTTCTTTATTATATTCCTGGCATCCAGGAAATAAAATCTTTCATGTAGGCAATGGTTTTTTGCGATCCCTTCAAAAAATATTCGTTAGCATTGTAAAAATAGGTACCTACATGTTTAATTTATGATCTTGTCCCAAGACTAGATATGTTTCATTTCTACAAAGTATTAATTTCCCTAATACTCTGAATGTTTGACTTACTGAGAGTAGCAGCTTTGTTTCATTCCCCATCACTCCCTCTCACACCCACAGGACCAGCACACACTTTCACCCACTGTGAGGCCACGCCGCATTTCCTCAGGGCTTCAGCTAGGTGGGAAGCAGTGTTGTGAATAATTTAACGGCAGTAAATGGACACAAGCAAATACCTTAAGACAACATGTGCAGTGGGGGCTGAAGTTGCACAGGTGAGTTTCTGCCTCTTTAATCCTCCAAATCCTGTTTGGTTTTGTGCAAATTTCTACAGCTTCTACCACTTAAGGTAAAGAGTTTTCATTAATGAGAAAGGTCAGAAAACAGCCTTACACTTATCCTGAAGTATTTCAATTTGCTACAGTATTTTTTTTAAAATGTAAACAACTTCACAGTAGAGGTACTGGCTTTCCAACATCTACCGAAAAAATTATTTCAATGGAAAAACCTAAGTCTCGAAGAAAGAAAAGAACCAGAAAAAAGCAGCTCCAGTTATGATATAAGCACCACCAACAAAATAAGTTTGCATTACTGAAGCTTCTTTAATGCAAAAGTGCAATACTAACATAAATAATCTCAGAGGAACTAATATTCAGTTTTTAATAAACAAGCCACAGTTCACATATGTGTCCTGACTGAAGCAGACAGCTGGTGCCAGGATACTGCCTGCTGTTTATCAAATTCCTGTATTAATCTCCTAATGTGAGACAGCTTGTTGTGGAGCTACTGACATCTGTTCTTCACTTCAGAGCAGCTGGGGATACACTATAAGAAAAGAAAAAAGGAAAATGAGGGCATGCAATAATTTTTTCAGAGTTTAGGATTTGGAACTGTAGAAACATTAAGGTTGAAAAAGACCTCCAGGATCATTGAGTCCAGCCTTTGACTGATTACCACCTTGTCAACCAGACTAGAGCACAGAGTGCCGTGTCCAGTTGTTTCTTTAAAATCTCCAGGGATGGTGACTCCACCACCTCCCTGAGCAACCTGTTCCAATGCTGAACCACCCTTTCAGGGAAGGAATTTTTCTGATATCCAAGGTGAACATCCCCCAGTGCAGCTTGAGACCATTTCCTCTTGTCCTCTAACTAGTGGCCAGGATAAGGGGACAACCCCCACATGTCTACAACCTCCTGTTAGGGAGTAGTAGAGAGCAAGAAGGTCACCCCCAAGCCTCCTCTTCTCCAGATTAAGAGTCTAGAGGGAAGTCCTGTGAGGAGAGGCTGAAGGAGCTGGGGTTGTTTAGCCCCGAGACACCTTAAAGTAGGGACAAGTGCAAAGCACATAATATATAGCAGAATCTTCATTCTAATTTCTGATTTCACTAGTCCTTTTTTGCCAGAGGTACCCACAAAGGACTTAGGAAAAGCAGCGCATAAATACATCACCAAAATCCAAATGAGGGGTAAGATGCTCCCTTCAGCAGCTCTATCAAAGCCTTCCTCAAAATGAGATGGTCAAGTCAGTTTTATTTATGTCCCAATTTCCAATTTTATCCGTGGAAAGTCTTCCCAAAGAGATCTTCCTGAGATTCAGATCAACATTTACAAATTAATGAACCAGAAGATTAGGACTATAGTTCATACTCTCCCTGCCTATGAGGCAAACAATCAAGAGGTTTGTCAATCAACTGAGGCAAAGTCAAAGCCCTGATTTATGTGTTCCAAAGAGCTGTGATTGCCATTTTGGCAGCTAAGAGACTTAAAGCTTTAGCCTAGTCTTCTAGTTCCCTCTACCCAAAGACAAATGGCTTAAAAGCAAGCATTGAAATTAGAGTTTGTGCAGTTTGTGAAGGAGAATCTAAACACACGTGTAGTCTTTCAGGTTCTGAAGAAGAAGAAGAAATTGACTGCTTTTAAGCACTCAGCTGGTTTCCTAGTTCATGCTGCAATAATCAGTTCTATCACTGAACTGTAGGATGTTGTTAACAAGCCAGATCCAAAGTCCTGGCTTTCTGGACACTTACTTGTAGGAGCAGCCAGGAACTCCTTTTCAAAACTTATGGACAAACTGAATGTAATAATAGAGACAGTTCAGCTAGACCACAGCAACTGCATCACTTATTTGCAGAAAGACTCCTTGGTACAGAGCCTGGCTTGTAGACTTCATAAATTAAGTGCCCAAGCCCTGGAAGCTGGCTTTTGTGACAGACTAGCCAATACAAAAAACATAACATCCTTGCAGAAGCCAATATTAAATTTAATATTGAATTTACACGAAGACTTCATACAGCAGGGGTCAAGTGCCACTCACTGCACCTACAACTTGCAGAACTCAAATGAAATTTCAGTGAGAGGAAAAAAATAGCTGGCAAAGCCCAGAACATGCAGGAGAAAATAAATATGATTCATCAAAAATTAATCACCTGTGAGATGTTTGAAAGTGTACCTGAAGTATTAAATAATGCATTACATTGGTAACATCAGATGCAATTGCTTTTGAATGAACAGGAGCAAGAGCTAAATAAGTTAAATAGTAAAAGGCAACAGTTAAATAACAAAATAGAATTGCACTTCAGTGAAGAAGCAGATAAAAGCCAAACCTTAAGTGAATATGTAAAGGAAGACACATAAAGAACATCTGGTTGTGGACCGGACGTGAGAGCTTCTCTTCACAAAATGAAAGAGAAAACAACTGTGATAAAGCCTGCATTCTATTACTCCATCTGTATTTCAGATATCCAAACTTAAACTTCACCTTAAATTTCACTCTTCTATGATATGTCCATGGACTTATTTTGTTTTATTGTCTTACTGTCTACTTTTTATCTTATTTGATTTAAAATCACAAACTTGTGCATTAAAATCTTCTCCTGGAAACAATTACTAAAAAAACCCAAAAAAACCAACAAAAAACCAAAAACCACAACAACAAAAACCACACACATAAAAATCCCAAACCCAAACCCCTGTTTCATTTGGTATATTTAAAATACCTACATGATGCAGAAGTAGCAAAATCATAGCTAAAAGCCAGATTTAACAGATAAGGTCACAAATGAGAAGTGAAGTTTTGAGATTCGTCTCAGAGGATATGGACCTTTTTGTCTCTTGCAGTTAAAACTTCGACCAGTACTTAGAAAGACAACCTGTATCCCTGACAACCTGATAGATGTGTGGTGTAAGATAAGACCTTGAGAGGCTCAGAATACTGTGGCTGATGCCAACAAAGACTGAAATCATCTGCATGCTAAGTGCGCCGACAGAGAGACTTTAACAGAGGCTTTAAAAATCAACCTTAGAATGTGCAGCCGTGCTGGGAGAAGGAGAAAGTGCTTTTCTAGGATTCTGCAGGGTGGATTTTATTCATCTTTTGTGCTGTTGTTGTTTGACATCATATATGCTCACACCTGGGGTTTGAAATCTCTCGGTTTGAGATGTTCCACAAGAACCTCTCCCTTTGTGCAGAGAAGTAAAAAAGAGAGTGGTAACTTTGCTACCTGTCTCCCTCATCGAGGGAGAGGAGCTCCTGAAGACAATGCTGTACTCCAGAGAACACCTCGCTGTGAATTTTGTCTCGCAGTCGTCCCAAATCTTTCAGCGGTGTCTCTCCATAACTCGGGTGAAGAGTGAGCTGCCCTTAGATCATCCATAGCTCCGTATGGCTTTCCTGTCAACCGGTCATTTTAATTTTCTGCGCGTTGGTAACTCAGCATCCCTCAAACGCGGCTGGGATGGTGCAGGGAGCGCTGGAAGGGCGGCAGTCCCCGGTGGCAGCCGCTGCGTGCTGCGGAAATTCCGCTCGGGAGCGTCCCCGGCAACCGCGGAATTTCAGCGTGTTGAGTTCGTGTTCGTCCCGTCCCGGGCTCGGCGTTCGGTCCCGCGAGCGGCAGAATTCCAGAGGTCCGGGTAGCGGCGGCTTTCCGGGAGTTCCGGCTCGTAATGCGAGCGGAGGGACATCGACCAGATCGCGCCCCGCCGCCGCAGCGGAGCATCTGGTGAGTTTCACTGCAGGTGTGTTAGTTACACCAGGCTCTGCATGTTTTAAGTCAGTGCGTCCTAAGATCGCTCTTAGGTTTATCTTTAAGCGGCTTCTATCACAGAACGGTTTGGGTGAGACCTTCAACGATCACCTCTTTCCAACCGCCCTGCCACGGGCAGGGACACCTTCCACTATCCCAGGTTGCTCCAAGCCCCGTCCAAACTGGCCTTGGACACTTCAAGTGACGGGGCAGCCACAGCTCTTCTGGATAGCCTGTTCCAGTGCTTCACCACCTTCACAAGGAAGAATTTCTTCCTCATATCCAGTGTAAATTCAATGGCCTTGCTAGTTAGTTAAATGTAATCAGAAGTTGGGCAGGAGAATATGACACAACATTTTTGAGTAACACACACCAAACATCTTAAATCCTCAACCAAATATCTTAGATCCTCAACCAAACATTTATTCTACTGTTTTCTTTAATTATGGGACTCCTACAAGCCACTCTTAAGGCACTAAGATATTTTTTCCTAAGCGAAAAAGCATGCTTTTGGAAAGTATCTGTTTGCATGCTAATAAACTATTGATACATATTTTAACAGATGAATGTTGCATGTTCAAAATCATTAGCATTCACAGGTAGCACTCTTCTGATTTAGGTGTATGGTTTCTTTTTTTGGTTTTGTGTGGTTTTGGTTTTTTCTTTTGTCTATTTGTTTTGTTTTATTTTGTTTTCCCTCTATGTGTAATTTAAAGAAGTTTTAAAACTTCAGAATGATGTGGATGTGACAGAGAATATTTTGATTATGTTAGGAGACTAATTTGGTTTTTTTTTCACTGCAGCTGTTACTTGCTGGGTAGAGTAAGTGAATTGTATTCTGGAGATGAAAAAGCAGATTTTGATGAAGTCTTTCACTTATACCTCTTTTTTTCCCTGCTATTCATTATTATTATTTTAGTAGCTGCCAAATAAACTGAAGTATATCTCTGCTAGAGATTTTAGTATTTTTATGATATAGAAAGAGGTAATCTTTGATTCTTCTCAAGTAAAATTATGTATGGCTAATGATCTTCATTTTTCCTCAGTTTATAGACTTCAAAAACTGCGTATTGGACATCACGAGTTCATCTAACTTACCTTCCACAGATGCTATCTGGTGAGCTCTGCTTCCATATTTTTAAGTCTAGCAATAAGGTTCCTCTTTTTATGTTTTATTTATTTTCCAAATCCCTGAAATTATATAGTTCAGATCGAAGAAGAACCAGGTATGGTGTGAAACATGCAATATAGTCACTAGATAAAAAGGAGTTACTTTCAGGTGTGCAGGCTAGCCCTCTGGCTTCTGTTCTTATAACCTGATAAGAGCTTGATCTTTGGCACAATAAAAGTAAACTTTAATTCATTCTGTTTATCTTAGCTGTGAGAGCTAGTTGTCTGCATTTAGTCTGACTATACAAAACTGCCAGTTATATAAGAGCAATGAAATTCCACGAATAAGAACATTGCTTAGGAAATCAGATTAGTGACTGCTCTTTCAGCAAACTTACACTGCTAGGTAATAAAGAAAATTTCTCTGTGTTACAAAATTCCTCTACATTTTTTGTCAGTTGTGGAAGAAAAGCTAGTGAAAGCTCTTTTTCTGCAATGGCCTATGTTGACTTCAACTAGCTAACCTGTGAAGTGAAGTTGAATTTAGTTTTTGAGATACAAATAGTCTTTTTGAGGTGTAGAACTCAAAAGCTATTTCACCCGCTCATATGCTTTCCTGAAAAATCTTAAAGTCTACTAAAATTGGTGACTTAGGTAAAGGTTGTAGTTGGTAAAATACATCTTTGGGTTCAAAACAAATGATTGATGATCTAGGAATATATAAAAATGGAAGGAGAAAGCCTTCCCTGAATTCCTGTTAGACTGCAAATCATGCTTTGAAACTTCCCAAGGTTTTCTGCGGTTTTGTCTCTGATTTAAGCTTCTGAGAGATTTATGCTTGTAGCATTTCCGCTTGCAATATGAATAAGGAAAGAAGAATCTCCTATAATAGGTAGTATGAAGCTTTCATTTACGTTCTGGCAATGCTGTGATGATTAAAGGAAATATCACAGAAATAAGAATTCTTGAGGCTATTTTCGGTTTTATTTCAGAATGTTTAAAAAGACAAACAAAACAATGAAGTGAATAACATAGTAATATTACACCATCTTTCCTTTTTTGTTGTTGTTGTTGTTTATTTGTTTTGTTTTTCTTTGTCTGTTTATTTTGTGGTTTTTGGTTTGGTTTTGGTTTTGTTTGTTTTGTTGTTGGTGTGGTTTTTTTTTTTTAGTAGCTGTTTTGCTTCTGTACTAAGAACAAAAGAAGAGTTTTCTGCTCTATATTTTTAAGTTTCCACTAATGCCATTGTGAGTTAAGAAGCTGTGCATAAAATGTTATTTCAAAAAGGTGTTTAATGCCTTTTTTTCCTGGTACTTACTCTGTTTTGTTGTTCGCTGTAATGCTCTAATACATATTTTGCATTTCTATAGCTTCCTTAATTTGCTGTTATTTGTGATGTCGTGCAACTTCTGTGTGGTTTGGCTGGTTTTTTGGTTGGTTGCTTGATTGCTTTTGTTTGTTTGTTTTTCTAATTTAATGATTTATTTTGGCTTCCCCTCCTCTCTGCTGGTCCAGTTAAATTTGCCACTGAGTAAGTTTTCGTATGTAGGTATTTTGATTGTGCTTTTTTTTTTCCAAATAGGTGATCAGAGATTGTAAAGGAACAGCTTTCTTTAAAGCTGATTGTCATACAAACTAATGTAGCTTACTTAAAGATTTAAAGGTGGTTTTTTTATTTACTTTGCAAAATGTTTTTTTCCTTGCTTTCATTCCGTGTGCTCTCCATGCAAGAAATATTAAATATCATCAGGTTTAAAGAAGTCAAATGACGTTCCTGCTGCCCACAAACGAAGTAAATAGTTACCCTTTCCCAGATCTTACCCAGTTTTCATTTTGGGTTCTGTTTTTCCTCTCTAACCAGTGCTTTGCTAAGCTTTTGCTGCCTAGCTTTTAGCTGCCTTGACCTGATTCTGACACTTCTTGCGTCATCTCTGAATAAGATGACTTGCCTTTCTTTCATCACTGTTTTCCCCAGCCAGGGAAAAACAAAAGTCTCTCAAACCTATAATATAATGTCCACAAACAAGTTTTTATTCAGTTTACAGGTTCTCTGGCTCTTCAGGTTCTTCTTATTTCCATATCTTCTTATTGCAGTAGCTAGGAGTAATATTAAATATTTTGATTTTATGTGCTTTGTTGCTGATCTTTTACCCTTTCAGTCATGTCAGTTGTTCTGGGTATGGCTGTTGCAGTAAATACTGAAAGCTAATAATGTGCTTATGTTTTTCATGCAGTATATGCAGTTTTTAGCAATCCTTATCTCCTACATTTATTAAATATATAAAATACTTTAAGTACATGGCACGCTGTGGGATAATTACTGATGACATGCAGTTATTCCAATCTCATAGATGAAGTCAGTCCTCTTTTTAAATTTCTTATTTATTCAATTATAAACTATTTATAGGCTGCAGCTAAAAAAATGAAATTTCATCCTTTATCAGTAGCAATGTCTTTAAAAGCAAGATTTTATCTAAATTACTCTTCCCCTCATTGACAGCATTTGTGTCCTTTTGGCTACTCAACCTATGTGAGAAAATATATATCATCAGAAAAAGTTCTCAGTCATGAAAAATGTTAATGCTGCCTGTATGAAAATCTGGGGGCAAAGTGATATTTTTTTTATTTAGAAAAAAACAATTCACTACCAGCATACTGTCATTTTTGTAATTAATATTTAAGACTTCATGTAGACAAAGATATTTTAGTGTTTACAGTTCTGTATTTTTAATTAAATTTAAACATGTTTCTTTTTTTATATTTCACATTTACTGCCCCTGAACTCTTGCACTTTTGTGTGGAGCAACTAATTATTGCAGTCTTATGTACCCAAAATAATGTGAAAACTGGCATATATCCAACAATGTGAAAACTTTTCGACTACTGAAATAACTTTAAGTTGTCCAGTTTGAAGTTATAATTAAACTAGTTATATAAACATGTATTTTTGTAATACATAGTAATTTTTCACTTTAGATATAGAAGCTTGTTTTGATTCTTTTATTATTGCTTTTAGTGATCAAGGGCTGATTATCCTAGCTGCAGAGTAGATTTTCTTTTAACTGAAATAGTAGTGGAAATCAGGATACTATGTAGTTTATAAGACTAGACCTCTAATTTTTATTGTATTTGTGATCAGTTACTTGTCTGTAGTTGAAATGTATATATTTGTGTCTTTGAAGACAAAGTGTGTAAAAGTGAGATTTGTTCCACATTTGTGCATTTGTTTCATGACAGATGCAGTTTTGAGATGACAATCCGTGTTAAAAAATGTGCCTTACTGCAGGGACAAACAAAAACTTGCTAGTCATTTTAATTTACATGGAATGATGTTTTTCAAGCATCCTGGAAGTTCATCAAATCAATAATAAAAATAGTGAAAAGTAATAAAGAACACATTATGCTTAAACCAACTTTGTTCATCCAAAGTGCATATCTGTTTCAAGTTCCTCCTGCTACATATCTTGCACAATATGCTATTCTGTGTGACCCTTTTTTTCAAAGAGCAACAGTATGATGACAACTACATGCATAATTTTACTTAAGTGAATGTTTAGAACTTTGGGCCTACAACTGAGTAACTGAAGTAAAGGAGCACTAAAACTTCAAGGGACTACTCACTTTTTTTTTCAAAAGCATTAA